CACTTCTAATGGCTTCTGCCACATTCTTCATATATGTAGACGCCCTGTGGACGTAGACGCCCCGTGGACATGCACGCCCTGTGGACTGGCGATGCTGGTTGGAGCTGCCGTAGTAGCCGGCCGCCATCTTAGGTGGGTCTCCATTTTCCCCCAGTGGATTTATTTCTACTGAGGAAAGTGTTTACCCAACTAAAAAACACATTTTACTCTTTTTGTTTTTACTAAATCAGACACGACATGATAGTTAAAATATAGATACAATTAAACAAAATAAATTAAAATATAAAATCCTAACAAGTAGGCTAGAAAAGTCAATAGTAATCCCACATGATCTGCTCTTAGGTAGCACAACAAATGGGCATAGCTGCGCACTCAGCATGGACTCCAGTTGGGTTTGGAGAATGAGGAACCCATCCAATATGGCGGCAACGTTGTTACGGTCTCCAGCACCCAATGAGGCGCCTATGTAGTCATGTCTATGGCTTCAGCTTCCTCTGATACTGTATACACACCCGATACTCATCCCATGCCCTCATCCTCATGAAACGTACTCCCTCCACATGCCGATCCCTGTTACTCTACCCTTCACTTCATAAAGAACGTCATATCTCAAGTATCAACCACAACCCCCCCTCACGAAATGGACATGCATTAATCTTGAGCTCATGTATGCTCAGAAGGGTCCAGAAATAGTCATGTGGGGAAGGACAAGTCCCTGGTCTCCCAAGAGTCCACAGTCTCCTGCTTTTATCAGTAAATCTGAGCTTTTTATGGTAACATTTTGAGTTTAAACCACTCAGAGTTTGGGAGGCTGTTATTTCTAATAATCTCAGGGGATTTATTTTACCTACATGACGTATGGGACGAATTAGATGATCAGTGGGAAGAAACTGGAAAAGAATTCATGTATCCAATAGTTTTCTTTCCCCCACATTCAGACCAAATTAACCTCTTGATTATATGTTTAATCTAAGCTCATCGTGTGTTATCTTAATACAGTTTTTCTCAATTGTTTACACACATTTTCTGGTACTTGAGACAAAATGACCACAACATGTAACCAATTTACCAACCCTCTTAACCAATTCTGCTAAACTACAAGCACAATTCCTGCTTTGCACTCAAATTGCAAATCTAAAACACACTTTTTTCAAACATTACACGCACTTCTCTGCTGTTGGCACAATTTTCATGCAGAAAATATCTTGGTTTCACAAGGAACACACTGCTATTCAAAGAAGCACACTGACTCATCACAAGGGCAAACACCCGTCACACAGTTTTACAATCAGCAATCAGAGCTTTAGCATAAAAGGGCAACAGGTGAGCTCTTCTGTTTTGGAGCAATGGATGCCAACATTGGAAACAGAGGCAGAGCCAGAGGAGTGAGAGTAAGAGGAGGACGACGGGGAGGATGAGGATGAGGATGAGGAAGAGGAAGACCAAGGACTGTAATCTCTGATGAGATCCGAGCCACTTTGGTTGATCATGTGGTCAACCATGGTCTTACAATGAGGGAGGAAGGCTGGGCAAAGAGTTCAGCCAAATTTGAGCAGGTACACTGCAGCATCCATCATCTGGACTTTCCGAAATGGGAAATGGTAAGAAATCTTCTCTCACTAGAAAATGGTAGCACTGCATACCAATGCAATCAGTATTCAATGAGTTTAGTAGTGATGTTGCCTGCAGGACTGTTTAGTTGGACAGTAAAAATACTGTAAAGTATGTTTCCAGTATTTAGGAAATGTATACCTACTTTGTATTCACATTGTTTTACTATTTGTTTGGCAGAACTGAAAGATTACCAAAACGAGGAGGTCGGGAACATCTTCTGTCTCCTGAACAGGAAACTGAAATCATGAACATGGTCCTAGAAAACAATGCCGTAACATTACGGCAAATACAAGAAAAATAATAGAAAACAATGACATGTTTCAAAATATTGATAGGGTCAGGGTCAGCATATCAACTTTGTGTTGGTTGGGAATGGGATATACATTGTGTACAATGTTTTGCGGGAAAAATAATTTTACCATGTATTTTTGTGTTCGGAGTGTAAAAACAGTGTTCTGAAATATTTTACAATAAATGTATGTATATACTGTCTGTAGTAACTGTAACCAAAACGGCTTAAGTCATTATGATGAATGGAGAAGAAGTGTTTTCCATTCATCATAATGTTTTACACTGAGCACATAAGTGTTCTGCTGGTTCTTAAAAATGTCTATTCACATGATGGTTTGTGTGATAACAAAATCCCACTGTGAGGAGAAAACATCGTTTTGAATGTGAAGTTTCATTTTGCAGGTCAATTGAGGGGGGTTTGCCCATTGTGTGTGTGTGTGTGTGTGTGTTTTTTTATGGATTTGTGTGTAGAGTTGTGAGAATATGAGGCATGCTTTCAGAAAATGTGTGTAAACTGAGAAAAACTGTAAACTGGAAAACTGGGTCCAGTCAGCTTGAACCTCATACCACCCCCAGACCATGACCTGATACATATATTTGCTTTTAAAATAAAGCTCCGTTGTGCCGTTAAAGAGATCAGGCAGTTGTTGCAAGTGTTTCTCTTGAACCCCTGTGAGGGAATCTATTTTCCGAGGCCACAACAATGCTCCCTTTCTCCTCCACGCCTCATGCTTGATTGGTCGTACTGAATGAGACCCTGAGTGAAATAATCCATACACTCCTGTCCTGAACCCCCCCCCCCCCCCACACACACACACACACACACACACAACATCCACAGCAAGCTCACACCAATCCACATGCTCACACTTAACTTGTCACATGCAGAAGCTCATGAAACTCTCATGCTTGGACATCACAAAATAAAAGTGTTGCATTCACATGCACGCACGCGTGCAAATAAAGGAGCTGAAAAAGCAGCAGGTAATGTATTTTTATGGAAATACCAGCAGATAAAAGTCTGCAACACCAGCATGGAAGCAAATGTGAAAAGATAGAGGTTTTGGTGCTCTCTTGTGGAGACCAGCGAGAAATGCATGACTCTGTTTGACCTTTTCAGAAAATTACTGAACAGCTCCATTATGGCCTTTGTAAGCAAGTTCCATCATAAATAAACTGCAAACTGTTGACTGCATTTTAGCATTTTACTTACTAATTTAATGTTTGGTAGAGGAGTTGAAAGAAAAGTGTTTAAAAACAAAACAAAACACATTATTGACTCACAGTTTTTCTCTATTGCTTACACGCATTTTCTGAGAGCATGCCTCATATTCTCAGAACTCTACACACAAATCCAAAAAAACCACAATGGCTAAAACCCCTCAATTAACTTGCAAAATGAAACTTCACATTCAAAACGATGTTAGTTCTCCTCAAAATGTGATTGTTTTCAAATGACACACACAAACTATCATATGAATAGACATTTATAAGAACCAGCCGAACACTTATGTGCTCAATGTCAAACACAATGATGAATGGAAAACACTTCTTCTCCATTCATCATAATGACTTTAGCCTTTGTGGTTCAGTGTTACACATACTACAGACAGTACATACATGTGTTGTACGTACTCAGTGATCCGGTCCAGTTTCTTTCACCTGAGACGCCTTGCAAATATCAAGCCTATTCTGTCGAGAGCCCACCTGGAGCGGGTACTGCATGCCTTTGTAATTTCTAGGCTTGATTACTGCAACTCTCTATATGCAGGGTTGTCAGTCAACACTGCGTCGCCTACAGGTTGTGCAGAACAGCGCAGCTAGGTTCCTGACTGGGACCAGAAAACGGGACCCCATCAGTCCGGTTCTGGCTTCCCTGCACTGGCTTCCGGTTTGCTATCGTGCACAATTCAAAATCCTCGTCTTTGTTTACAATTTCTTCCAGGGTGGTGCTCCCCCCTATCTGGCCACGCTCCTGAACAGACATTCGCCATCACGCGCTCTGCGCTCCTCTGACCAAGGCCTGCTCGCTGTCCCTCGTTCTAGGTGTCGTACTCGCGGGGACCGGGCTTTCTCAGTCCTAGCACCGTCACTCTGGAACCAGTTGCCACCCTCAGTTAGGCTGTCCCCATCTCTGCCAGTCTTCAAGAGTCGCCTAAAAACACACCTTCTCCGCTTGGCGTTTCCTGAACATGTTTGATTCGGCCCTCTTTTACGTTGAATTTCTTTCACAGTTTTCATTGGTTCACTCTATCCCTTGTTTTACCCATCTGTCCTGTACTAGAATGTTTCACCTTTTTTTGTAATTTGAATTGCTTTTATTTTTGAATTGCTTTTATTTTTGATTTATTCACTATATTTGTACTTCTACTGTACCATGTTCAGCGCCTTGGGCTTCCTGACAGGGTTGCGGAAGGCGCTTTATAAATAAAGCTTTGATTGATTGATTGATTGATTGTAAAATATTTCAGAATATTGTGTTTACACTCTGAACACACAAATACATGGAGTGGTCACTATTGTGAAGCACATCATTATGATTACAATATTGAAATATGTATAATTTCCTGTACACAGTGTTGAGTGTATGCATCAATTGTGGGACTCACTTGCACAGTTATGTCGCAATTATTTGACTCTTTCCGAGTTTTGTTCAAATGGCAGCCTGCTTCATCCTGAGATTATATCTGCGCAAGACACGGTCCACTGTTGATAAACTGACCCTATCAATATTTTGAAACATGTCATTGTTTTCTATTATTTTTCTTGTATTTGCTGTAATGTTACGGCATTGTTTTCTAGGACCATGTTCATGATTTCTGTTTCCTGTTCAGGAGACAGAAGACGTTCCCGACCTCCTCGTGTTGGTAATCTTTCAGTTCTGCTAAACAAATAGTAAAACAATGTGAATGCAAAGTAGGTATACATTTCCTAAATAATGGAAACATACTTTACAGTATTTTTACTGTCCAACAAAACAGTCCACAGGCAATACTACTACTATACTCATTGAATACTGATTGTATTGGTATGCAGTACTGCCATTTTCTAGTGAGAGAAGATTTCTTACCTATTCAATTTGGAAAGTCTGGATGATGGATGCTGCCGTGTACCTGCTCAAATTTGGCTGTACTCTTTGCCCAGCCTTCCTCCCTCATTGTAAGACCATGGTTGACCACATGATCAACCAAAGTGGCTCGGATCTCATCAGAAATTACGGTCCTTGGTCTTCTTTGTCCCCGTCCTCCCTGTCCTCGTCCTCTTACTCTCACTCCTCTGGCTCTGCCTCTGTTTCCAATGTTGGCATCCATTGCTCCAAAACAGAAGAGCTCACCTGTTGCCCTTTTATGCTAAAGCTCTGATTGCTGATTGTAAAACTGTGTGACGGGTGTTTGCCCTTGTGATGAGTCAGTGTGCATCTTTGAATAGCAGTGTGTTCCTTGTGAAACCAAGATATTTTCTGCATGAAAATTGTGCCAACAGCAGAGAATTGTGTGTAATGTTTAGAAAAAAGTGTGTTTTAGATTTGCAATTTGAGTGCAAAGCAGGAATTGTGCTTGTAGTTTAGCAGAACTGGTTAAGAGGGTTGGTGAATTGGTTACATGTTGTGGTCATTTTGTCTCTAGTACCAGAAAATGTGTGTAAACAATTGAGAAAAACTGTAAAATAAGTAAAAACCTTTTCATTGATTTTTCTTTTCTTTCTTGGTGTAAAAATCATAGTTTATGATGTAAACAAATAAATAATATTGGATATGTTGCCCCAAAAATACATTAAGAATTACACGTGTACGTTTTCACTTATTTAAAATATTTGTCAAATATAAATAAAAGCATTTATCAAACTAAGCATATCTGGTTCATTTAGATTTCATATACAAAAAACATTTACAATGTGTTTTTATTGTAATATAATTATGAATAAAATCAATCAGTTGATTGAATGGTCATTAAACGCATTAAACGGCTACGGGGCAGGATTATGTCGCTCTGATTGTGTGTGATGTTGGTGTGAGGTGGGCCAACCCACTGCTGTGTTAAAGGGGCTGACCTCAGACCAGTTCTAGATTATTTACAGCCTGAGTGTTGTCACATCCTGGATGATCCTCATAAACAACCACAGAAACAAGTAAGAAACACTCGACTTTACTTTGGTTTGTGTAGAAATTAATTAGCTAATTTGTAAAAAAAACTGTGAGAATGTCTTGAATTATTGCAAAATGGTATAAATCAGCTTTTTGTCCATGTCTTTATATTTGCAGATATAATTTAATGTTTATGTCATTCCTGAAATGACCAATGGGATGCTGCAAACTTTCTATTTTTTTATTTTATTTTTTTGCTCAATCTAACCGACTTTGTGTCATTTGATGATTTTAATGCTTTCGCTTAATTTTCTTTGCATCTAATTTAGTTTCACTTAGTAGCAAATTAACTGCAAACATGAGGCTGAGCACAATGACTGTCTTTTTTATAGCCATTGCAGAATAATAAAATGTCACATTGTTAATTTTGGTTCCTTTTAACACTAAACTGTGTGGAAAAAGTCTTCATAATTTTGTTCTTTTAGAAACTCTTCACTAATTTTATGAGTTTTCCTTCAAAATCTTAAAACAGCTTCTGTTTCAAACTGATTAAATGGAATTTAAAATAATTTGATATAATTCTGTTGTGCATTTATTTATTTTTTTGTTTATTTTGCATCCCCAGAATTAGAGGAGTTTCCCCTCAATTCTGGCCTCTTTAGAGCAGCTTGTCTGGCCCTGATAAGGTGTTCAGGGATGGCGAGGTCATCATGTAGACGTCTTATCTTTATGGACACTTAAAGGGTAAAGTGCCTCAGCAGGCTCTTTAACACACTTTAGGACATGTGGGCTTTATTTATCACATCAGCTGTTTCCTGTAATCTACAGCGTTGGTCTTTACAAAAGTCATGAGAAATAAAACTACAACACATATATAGTATCTGAAACTCACATATTTGTGAATAAGGAATGAATTTAGCAAAGAGCCTCCATAATTATATTAGAAGCCTCTTCTCATTAATTCATATTGTGTTTCTGTGTAAAAATTTTCAAAGATTTTGTCATTTTTAGCTTCCTGTTTGGTGACATTGTTTATAATATACAAGACTGATAAGCTAAAGGCTAGTCTGAGAGCAGCCAAACCGGCAAAAATTGTTGCCATCCGAAAAGTAACACAGAGTCCACGTTTTCTCCTCCTCCCTACTGGTTGAAAGTGGAATTATAACTATGGTAAACAACCCTGAAGCAGCCTGCTGTAGCTAGTGCTAACCAGCTAACATTAACATGAGCCAACTAATACTAAAATAAACCACAAAGTGAAAAGATCCACACTGTTGAAGAGAAAATATTATTATTACAAGTCCAGTAGCAACAAAGTCAGGCCATTATCAATCCATTCACTCAGGTTTTAGCTCTTTACTTCGCCTGCAAAGACATCACTGGTGCTGGTGTCAAATAAGACACGGTGGGGGTGGGGGGTGTTGCCACCCGCGGACTCGTCTCTTGACTGAATGTGAGATCTAATATGGACTGGGACTGTTAAATTACAAGCAGGGCCAGACCGCTGCGACCGGGAGCCCTGGCCTTCCAGATCAACTCATTCTCCACGGGCGGAGATCAGCCAGACATTAGCTACACGCTAGCGTGGTAAAACAACTCCTACGTCATCGCTCTACCGCATTTTTCTTGCTAAAAATGCCTGGAAAAACTCTGTTAGCTTTGTAGCTAATGTTCTGCAGATCACCAACTGTGGAGTAGTGTCGGCCCAAGCTGGGCAAGCAGCCCACTTGGCTAAGCGGCCCACCGGGACAGTGCCAGAATGCCAGATAGGCCAGTCCACCCCTGCTCAACAATCACTGAGATCGATGTTAAAGCTAGCTTAAAGTTTTAAACTACTTGGTGTTACTTTAAAACAGCTCTAATTTCTTTACTCTTACCGTGGTTCATGGAAATGTTAGTTCACAAATATTATATGCCAATTTATACATTTCAACAGTTTTTGTTTTTGGAGGGGGCTGAACTTAACCCTAGGAAGTACCAGAAGTGCTACATGCTGCTGATGATGTCACAATTGTAAATTTCCCAAAAAATTCCAAGTAGCTTTTGCATAAAAGAATTTCTGAAGGTTGGAGCTTTTAATATGGCAGCCATACTCTTTGGTCTTCGCTGCACTTAAGTTAGCCGTTAGCTCATCAATCCAGCAGCGTTTAAAAGCTACTTTGTCAAACTAAGTTTGTTCAAAAAGCTAACTAAATGTAAAAAATGAATAATTGTGAACTTCTACAAGCATTTCAAAAATCTCAAACTGGAGGAGAAGTTGGTGTGTTTGTGTGTGTGTGTGTAAAGGCCACACATTTGGGACTTGGTATGCTTAATCTGTGGACTCAGTCAAAGAAGTGATGTGGTGGAAGTTAGGGAGGAACCATGTAATCTGATGAAGGGTTAGCTGCTTGGGTTAGAGTGCAAACTGGATTACGGGACTTGACATGTCAGAGAGAAGACACCTAGACACAAATATACAAATCACATGTACCGTCCACACACAGGTGCACAAGTGGAGCTTAGTCGGAAGAACTGTTTTCACCCCCTGTGGGGAGCTTAAACTCCAAAATACCCCAGAGAAGCAAAAAGATTTGAAGCTGTTTGTGTTATTGGCTGCGGCTAAATGATTCCTGTTACTTCCAGGAGTCCGAGAGGTCCTACATGAGGAAGATGGAGACGAAAGAGAAAGCAGAAGCAGAATCTGAGGCCCCCGTCCCAGACAACGACAACTGCACCAGCATGGAGGACTTGGACAAACTGGAGTGTGAGCTGAATGCTAAACGTTTGGAGTTTGAAGCGGACGCAGACGTGTCGGAGCTTGAGGCGACAGCAGACCAACTGGAGCAGGTGATGGAAAACATGGAGACGCTGCTGCTGGACGTGGAGCAGCTCAGGGACAGCTGCAGCGATCAGGCCAGTGAGCTGCTGCAGGTGGCGGCGAACCTCAGGCAGCAGCAGGAGGATCTAAGGAAGAACTACACTAAGCTGTCACAAGAGCTGCAGGAGATAATGGATTCTGTGGAGGACCTGTTTGACACCAAGAGTGCCTTTGAGGCCAAAGAGAAGGAGGCAGAGAAACTGAACCGACTTCTCTGAGAGAGACAGACTTTGCGTTTGATTATAGAGTTAAAACCCACCATGAGGTGGTTCTTTTGACTTTAGGTGTTAGGGATACAACTTAAAGGGATTCGTTCAGATGTTAAGGTTTAAAGTGAGGCTTTAGTGACATTTTTGAATGATATTTATTGCTTATTTTTTCTTAATGAATAAAAATAGTCCTAAAAATAATATAAATTGTTGTTTTCTCAAGTCTTGAGCCCACGCTGAGCTGTGCCAGTACTTTTCCTTCAACAAAGCATTCTGTACAAGTTTTCTCAGTTTGAAAGACTCCCATGGTTTGCCAACATTCTGGCACGTGAGCATAGCTTTTTATTTCCCCCCTGACTCTGGTCTATATTTCTTATTCTCCTCACATCCAAGCACGCTTCCCTGTGGTTTCTCACTAGAATTAAAACCAACCATAGCCTAAAAACAATGTTTTTCTCCTACCGGCTCCCCTGCTGTGACCTACTGGTCTATGTTTAGTGGTTATGGGATGTGTGAAATGGACAATCAGTGGCAAGTAGCTGGTAAAAAAAAAGAAAGTATAAAATCTATGGAAGTTCTGAAGCTTGCTTTCACCTTAGATTATTGTGCAATGACAAGTGTTTTTATGTAAGAGTGCAAATATTAAATTTTGTGTGTTAAAATACTTAATCTAGTTGTCTTTGTTCAAATGATGTAATTAACTTCTACACTACTGTGGAAGGCATATTTTAAACAAAAAAAAACGTTTTCAAAAATCCATTTTCAATGACATATTATTAAAAACAGACGTGTAAGCCTTCCTAAAAAAAGAAAACCTGCATCTCTTTGTGTGGCTGAAATGTGACACCTCATGAGCCGAGGACTTGGCGAGCAGACCGAGTGAGAAGATAGAAAGCTGCGTGTCAGTGTCTCTGTTCACCTTGTAGGTGCAGGTTCCTCTGCGCTGCTGACCTACCAGCTTCGAGAAGGTAAGACTGAAAAAGGAGATGAAATTACATTTTATATTTTGCACACTTTCATCCCTCTTTTGTATATTTACAGTTGTTAAAAATGGTACAAATTCATGTGTGAAACGACTGAAATCGTAAAGATTTTTGCATTGAAATTTAAGTTCTGGAGCAGCTTTTGGTCAACATGAGCATCCTGTACGTCCTTGGCATCCTGCAGCTGGCTGTTCCTGCATTTACAGTGAGTCACAGTTTTAGCATCGTTTGTGTTACGCTAGCTGGTGTCAAATGTGTTACAACAGGTGTACTGAAGGAGATTTTCAAAGTAAATATTGTTTGACCAAAGTTTCTTGGGAAATGTGTTTCTTTTAAAATTGAGAATCAAGCCAAGAATGTCATCTAGAAATAAATAATAAAATAATCTTTGTATTATTTTGTATTCAAAACCTAATTTTGTTTGGTTGTGAATGTTTACTTTAACTTTTCATAAAAACTGCTGTTGGTGTCTGTCACTATACAATATAAATATATTTTGCATAAACTGATACTGATAAATATGGATTTAATGTGTGGAAAATCACAAGTTCACATACATTTAATCAGACACCTGAAACACATGTGAAATTTCATGGTTTTCTATGTGGGAACCAAGATTTTTCTTTTACATTTTAGCATGTTGTCATGTAACATTTCTGTGATGAAGTGTAAAAATAATCATGTTAAATTCAACTGTTCAAAAAATTTACTATGACTATTACTTTTGATTTTTAGATGATAATTATGGCGATTTTTGGTCAAATTTGAAGCACATCAATTGCTTTCTCACAACAGCCTGCAGTAAAAACACAAGACTGGGGAAAGAATACGATGCACAGTTAACTCAGACACACACACACACACACACACACACACACACACACACACACACACACACACACACACACACACACACGTAATTATATTTAGCCCAATGTAATGGTTTTTGCATGGAAAGAAAGATGGAAAGAGACACTATTCAAATGTCTTATGTAGATGAATGAATGAATGAATGAATGAATGAATGAATGAAACATCTGCTTTTTTACCTTCTCCATTTAAACCTTTAAATCCTAACAAATAAAATAAAAAAGTTCCATCCTTGACAAACTGAAGCTTACAGCAGACACCATCTCAACTGTAAAAATCATAAACCATCGTGTAATTACTCCTCCTTGAACCATCACCTTATCGTGGTGGAGGAGTTTCCCCTAATGATCCTAGGAGCTATGTTGTCTGGGCACTTTGTGCCCCTGGTAGGGTCTCCCATGACAAATTGGTCTTAGGTGAAGGGTGAGACAAAGAACGGTTCAGCGGATCTTTCATGGATGTACAATCAAAGAGTCGGTGTACCCGGCCCGGAGGGTTACCGGGGTCCCACCCTGGAGCCAGGCCTGGGGTTGGGGCCCATGAGCGAGCGCCTGGGGGCCGGGCTTTCGCCCATGGGGTTTACCCCGGGGGATGAGAGGGTAGCTTCCCTGCGCCTTCGGGTTGGGAAACGGGTCCTGACTGTTTTTGTGCTTATGGGCCAAACATCAGTTCAGAGTACCCACCCTATTTGGAGTAACTGGGACAAGTGCTAAATAGTGCTCCATCAGGGGACTCCATTGTCCTGCTGGGGGGCAATGACAGCATGACCTGGAGGGGTGTGATTGGGAGGAACGGCCCGCCTAATCTGAACTCGAGTGGTGTTTCGTTATTGGACTTCTGTGCAAGCCGCAGTTTGGCCATAACGAACACCATGTTCAAACATGAGGATGCCCATCGGTACACTTGGTAACAGGGCAGCCTAGGTCGCAGGTCGATGATAGACTTTGTAGTCGTATCATCTGACCTGCGGCCGTATGTTTTGGACACCCGAGTGAAGAGAGGAGCGGAGCTGTCAACTGATCACCACCTGGTGGTGAGTTGGATCAGATGGCAGGGGAAGATGCCATGTAGACCTGGCAGACCCAAACGCATAGTGAGGGTCTGCTGGGAACGCCTGGCAGAAGAGCCTGTCAAGACTGTCTTCAACTTCCATTTCCGGCAGAGCTTTGACTGCGTCCCGAGAGCAGTGGGGGACATTGACTCCGAGTCGGCTTTGTTCCACTCTGCGATTGTTGAGGCAGATGTTGCTAGCTGTGGTCGCAAGGTGGCCAGTGCCAGTTGTGGTGGCAACCCCCGTACTCGCTGGTGGACACCAGAGGTTCGGGGAGCCGTCAGGCTGAAGAAGGAGGCCTACAGGGCGTGGCTGGTTTGTGGGTCTCCAGAGGCAGCAGACAGGTATCGGATAGCCAAGCGGGGTGCAGCAGTTGCAGTTGCCGAGGCAAAATCTCGGGCATGGGAGGAGTTTGGTGAGGCCATGGAGAAAGACTATCGATTGGCTCCAAAGAGGTTCTGGCAAACTGTCCGGCGTCTCAGGAGAGGAAGGCAGCAACTCGCTCACACTGTTTACAGTGGGGATGGGGAGCTGCTGACGTCAACTGGGGCTATAGTCGGACGGTGGAAGGAATACTTTGAGGAGCTCCTCAATCCCACCTATGCGCATTCCGAGGAGGAACCAGAGCCGGGAGACCTGGGGATGGACTGTCCAATCTCGGGGGCAGAAGTTGCTGAGGTAGTCATACAACTACACAGCGGTGGAGCCCCGAGGGCAGATGAGATTTTCCTGGGTATTTCAAGGCTATGGATGTTGTAGGGCTGTTGTGGTTGACACGTCTCTGCAACATTGCGTGGCCATCGAGGGCAGTTCCTGTGGAGTGGCAGACCGGGGTGATGGTCCCCATCTTTAAGAAGGGTGACCTGAGGGTGTGTTCCAACTACAGGGGGATCAGACTCCTCAGCCTCCCTGGAAAGGTCTACTCCAAGGTACTGGAGAGGAGGGTCCGATCGATAGTTGAATCTCAGATTGAGGAGGAGCAATGCGGTTTTCGTCCTGGCCGTGGAACTGTGGACCAGCTCTATACCCTTGCAAGGGTGATGGAGGGGGCATGGGAGTTTGCCCAACCAATCCACATGTGTTTTGTGGATTTGGAGAAGGCTTATGACCGTGTCCTCAGGGGCACCCTGTGGAGGACGCTCCAGGAGTATGGGGTGAGTGGCTTTCTGTTAAGGGCCATTCAGTCCCTTTACCAGAGGAGCGTGAGATTGGTCCACATAGTCGGTAGTAAGTTGGACCTGTTCCCGGTGAGGGTTGGACTCTGCCAGGGCTGCAGTTTGTCACCGGTTCTGTTCATTACCTTCATGGACAGAATTTCTAGGCGCAGCCATGGTGTGGAGTGTGTCAAGTTTGGTGGCAGGAGATTCTTGTCTCTGCTTTTTTGCGGATGATGTGGTCCTCCTAGCTTCATCCAGCTCTGACCTTCAGCTCTTGCTGGGTAGGTTCGCAGCTGAGTGTGAAGCGGCTGGGATGAGGATCAGCACCTCCAAATCTGAGACCATGGTTCTCGACCGGAAAAGGGTGGCTTGCCAACTCCGGGTCGGGAGAGAGGTCCTACCTCAAGTGGAGGAGTTTAAGTATCTCGGGGTCTTGTTCACCAGTGAGGGTAGGAGGGATCAGGAGATCGACAGGCGGATTGATTCGGCATCTGCAGTGATGCGGACGCTGAGCCGATCTGTTGTGGTGAAGAGGGAGCTGAGCCAGAAAGCCAGGCTCTTGATTTACCGGTCAGTCTACGTCCCAAACCTCACCTATGGTCATGAGCTTTGGGTAATGAGTGAAAGAACGAGATCGCGGTTAAACGCGGCCGAAATGAGTTTCCTCTGTAGGGTGGCCGGGCTCAGCCTTAGAGATAGGGTGAGGAGCTCGGACATTCGGGAGGGACTCGGAGTAGAACCACTGCTCCTACGGATTGAAAGGAGTCAGTTGAGGTGGTTTGGGCATCTGGTCAGGATGCCTCCTGGACACCTCCCTGGGGAGGTGTTTCGGGCATGTCCTGCCGGCAGGAGGCCCCCGGGTCGACCCAGGACATGTTGGAGAGGTTACATCTCCAATCTGGTCCAGGAACGCCTTGGGGTCCTGCCGGAGGAGCTGGTGGAGACCCGGACCCGGGTCGCGGAGGAAGACGATGACAATGACGTAGCAGAACTAAACAATACATTGAGCATTGATCAGCTGCAGTATTTATATCCTCCACCAGAGGGCAAAAGACGTGTATGAGATCTGAGTCACCAGATTCTTGTGAAAAGGACTAAGTCTAGTATACAGGTAGAGTTAAATGTAATTTAAACAAATAAGACGAAGTTCACGCTGAACTTTTTCTAATTTTTCAGGTCTTTTAAAAGTGTGGTTTACTCGTTCATGCAATACATTTGCAGTGTAAATCAATGCCTTATGAGTCATTTAAAAAAAGCTGCAATGCTCCTGTTCCGGGAATGCAGAGGTGGTTAAAAACAGCACATTTGCTCATTATTATTAATGATATGCACACACCTTGCTTCTGATTGGCTAACAGAATGTTTTCAGGCATTTTGCAAAGTCACTATCACCAAGACACTCTCTCTATCCCTCTCCTCACTGCAAAAAGCCTTTAAGCCAAGATGGGCCAACCCATGACTGCAAATTTACAGTGTGACATCACAGTGTTAGGATTTTCAAATCCTAGAGTTTCACAGTCTAATTTAAATCAGAAGCTAATGCAGAAGATAGGTGTAGGAGACTTTTTCATGTTCAGCCTGCATGAAAAACTCAGAGTGACCGATTATAATAAAAAATAATCATTAAAAAAATTTTTCAGTGTTCCACACCTTTAAAAAACCTTTTATTCCCCCAAAGTTCACTTTAAATAACGTCCACAGTTCTTTAAGTTTGAACAAAAAATATGTGTAGTGTGTTCTTATTCTTTTACTTGCAGTGATGCTGCAGCATATTGTAAACACGTTATGCAAGTCATAGGTTGGTTTGCGGCTACAAGTTGTAGCTTCTGTTTTAGCGTCTCATTGTGCTCCCCATGTGTGTTAGTGGCTTGAGGTGCTGGGATTTGGTGCGTGACAGTACTCGGGGTTCCTGAGCGAGTGGGAGTTTCTGTTTTTATTGCATTTTTAGATGTTTTTTAACATCTTTTTTTTTTTTTTTTTTACATTTTATTCATCCAGCTGACACAGCCGGTCGATGACTACTGGGGAGAGTTTGGGGCTTTTGGGCCCTGCAGCCAAACCTGCGGCACCGGAGTGGCAATGAGAACCAGGAATTGCATCACTTCAAGGTCAAACAGAGCAACATCAAGTAGAAATCATCATTTTATTTTCAGAATCCAAAATTACTTTTGTACAACTCACATTGTTCATTTAGTAACTAAAGATGTTTTCAATTCTGCAGGACAGATGGGGGACACAACTGTGTGGGATCCTCCAAGTCCTTCCGTACTTGTAATACACATGTAATTAAACATAATTCTTCTTTTAAAAACCACACAGATTTAACATGCCGTAACTTTACTTCTCCATATCATTGGTTGTAAAAGGCGTGCCCAGTTGGATCAAGAGATTTTCGGGAGGATCAGTGTTCTGAGTTTGACAGAGTGGATTTTCAGGGGAAGCGTCACACATGGGTGCCTTACTATGGAGGTGAAGAATCTCTGTTTTAGCTTAAACACAAAGAGCAAGAATTAAGTTGTTTGCTTTTCTTGCCCCATTCAGGATCTATTAAGACTTATCTTTTTATTATTAAATGATAGGAGCAGAATTAATCGTGCTTCCACCGTTTCTAACCTTGCAATACCCGTGTTTTGTTTAAAATGTGACAAAATACACAGCGTAACAGAAATGATACGCAGAAAACATCTGACCCACGTTGTTGATTCCTTCAATATTTTAGCATCCAATCCGTGCGAGTTGAACTGCGTACCACGAGGACAAAATTTTTTCTACCGACACCGCCCAGCGGTGGTAGATGGGACTCCGTGTTACGTGGGGCGCACCGACATCTGTGTGGAAGGCATCTGCAGGGTGAGACTTGAAAATAATGTGGATTTTAACCTTTGATTCAGATCAATTTTAAATTCTGAATCCTATGTCTGTGTCTGGGATGAAGATTAAACACTTTACCACAAATCCCTTGTCAGTTTTTGAGTTTTAATTAAGCAAATTTACTGTAATTTATTCTATATCAGCTGCTGGTCCATGGAGAGTTTATGGGATTAGACAACGACACAAGTTCTGTTCACTCGGCTACTCCGGTTGCTGTTGCGCCTGATCCAAGAGAGACGTTCGCATACACCTACAGGGCGGGGGTTTACGCCGAGTGTTCTGCCACCTGTGATGGAGGCATGCAGTATCGAAGTGTGGAGTGTCTGGTTCAGGACCCGTCCAACCCCAGGGTGGTGGACGAGTCTTACTGTATCGCCCAGCGTCTGCAGAGACCACTGAGTCAGCAGGCCTGCAACATGCAGCTGTGCTCTGCAGAGTACAGCGTCTCCAGCTTCAGCGTGGTTCGTAGCTTGAACAGAGCAACGTTTGCATGATTTTCTTGCTTTCTTTTGCTTGAAAAATGTGTGACGTTGGCATCTAGCTTAGCTCAAATGAAAAACTGTATGTTACCATGTCGGATTATCAGTGTTCGGTGACCTGTGGAGAAGGGCAGCAGACGAGGGAGGTGGTCTGTGTGGGACCAAGAGGGGAACATCTCCCTGACCGTAACTGCAGAGGACTGGCACGACCTGCTTCTGTCCAGGCCTGCCGCCGACCTGCCTGTCACACACACGTAACCTGGCATGTAACAGAGTACGGACTCGTAAGTGAGAAGAAAATACCTTTTGCACTCTGCTTTTCATTGCAGTGCTTGCACATCATTATCCTTTCTTGTCTCCACAGTGCACTAGAAGTTGTGGTGGTGGGGTTAGAGAGAGGAAAGTTGGTTGCTTCGATACAGACTTGAACCCTTACCCCGAGGATCAGTGTGGAGTAGCAAGCAGACCTTCATCTGTGGAAACGTGCAATTCTCAGTCCTGTCATAGATCGCAAAGTGAGTCAATTACCTGTCGGTGAGTCACTTTTGCTTTGATTTTTCATGCTGTTTCATGTTTTAAGCTTGTTTGTCTGCAGTGGTTCCAAGCATTCAGGACCCAGGAGTGGGGAGGAGTGCTATAAGATTTGTGCCTCACGATCCAAGAGAACATTCAGGTGTAGTAGAAGGCTGAACGTTTGTGTGGAAAGGTCCTCCATCTACATTCTTTGTGGTTCTGCATCTATTTTTTTCAGACACCACAGAGTGTGGTTGTTGCTGTAGGCGCCATGGTTCATTTTTCTAAGTTCCAGAAATATACAGTTGAAAAAACTAAAGCCACGTGTGTTTTTATTGGTAGTTGTTGTGATTGATAAAGTTTATTAATAATACATTTTAGTTAAGAATGGTCTAAAAACTTAATAATATTCCATTAATTTGTGACTTTGACGCCGTGTTGGTTGATTTGCTTCAGCTTCCGGACCCGACACAAACACTGAGCACGATCCCTACCCTCCTGTGATAGGTCCTCATTGTGTGCAGTCCTTATACGGTTGCTGTCCTGATGGACACACTTCTGCAACTGGACCCAGGGACCAGGGATGCTCATCTGCCGAGTGTCTTCGCAGCAGGTACGTTTTTTTTTTTTTTTTCAATCAAGGAAAGGTATTTGGCTCGACCATCTGTAAGTTATTTTGCAATTTTTAGGTATGGCTGTTGTTTGGATGAGGTGACACCTGCACGAGGACCAGGAGGAGCTGGATGTCCTGAATACCAAACAAGGGTAGAAATTGCATTCCCTTCATTTATTTAAGCTTTGAAATGATGAATTTCTAATCTAACTGAAGGCTAAGTTACTAATTTCCATCATTTGTCTTTTTTTAGGCATCAACCCATAGAGAGAATACGGGTGTGGATGAGGATAGCAATTCAGCTGTTCCGGTTTCTCATCCAAGGGAGATGTTCGCATACACCTACAGGGCAGGGGCTTATGGCGAGTGTTCTGTCACCTGTGATGGAGGCATGCAGTATCGAAGCGTGGAGTGTCTGGTTCAGGACCCGTCCAACCCCAGGGTGGTGGACGAGTCTTACTGCATCGCCCAGCGACTGCAGAGACCACCGAGTCAGCAGGCCTGCAACATGCAGCCGTGCTCAGCAGAGTACAGCGTCTCCAGCTTCAGCGTGGTCCGTAGCTTGAACAGAGCAACGTTTGCATGATTTTCTTGGTTTTTTTTTTGTTGTTGTTAATACTAGTTAACTGGAAAATGTTACTGTGTTGGATTATCAGTGTTCGGTGACCTGTGGAGAAGGGCAGCAGACGAGGGAGGTGGTCTGTGTGGGACCAAGAGGGGAACATCTCCCTGACCGTAACTGCAGAGGACTGGCACGACCTGCTTCTGTCCAGGCCTGCCGCCGACCTGCCTGTCACACACACGTAACCTGGCATGTAACAGAGTACGGACTCGTAAGTGAAAGGAAAAATACTTTTTGGGCTAATTTTTCATTGCAGTGCTAGCACATTTTTATCCTTTCTTGTCTCCACAGTGCACTAGAAGCTGTGGTGGTGGGGTCAGAGAGAGGAAAGTCAGTTGTTTTGATACAGACTTGAACTCTTACCCCGAGGATCAGTGTGGAGTAGCTAGCAGACCAACTTCTGTAGAGTCGTGCAACACACACCCTTGCCCAGGAGTGCAAAGTGAGAAGAATAATCTGATGATGTAGCTGTTGACTTGACTTTTGTCTTTTTTGAAATTTCCCTTTATTCCCTGTTTTCTTCTAGTGGTTCCAAGTGTTCAAGATCCAGGGAGTGGAAGCACCATGAGGAGATTTGAGCCCCATGTTTCAGGAGAAACTTCAGGTATGGGTGACAGACTATAGAAATACTTTTAATGAAAATCTCAAGTATTAAAAAACTCCAAGCAGTTACCTTCACCTCCATCTTACTGGTTGAAAGTAGAATTATGACTGTCGTAAACATCCCAGCAACAGCTTGCTGTAGCTAGTGCTAACAACAAGCTAACACTAACAACTAATACTAAAATTAACCACAAAGTAAAAAGAGCCACACTGTTGGACAAAAGATTCTGCTTACAAGTCCAGTAGCAACAAAGCCAGGTCACCATCAGTCCATAATTTTGTAGCCTTGTTTAGCTCTGAAAGGTCAAATTTACTTTACGTTGGAAACATTATTTTTTTAAATCAAAAATAACTTTGGAAAATGTATGCCATACCATCAATCAATCAATCAATCAATCAATCAACTTTTATTTATATAGCACTTTATCCTACAATACATGCAACTCAAAGTGCTTAACAAATTAAAAAAGGCCCCACATATCCACATTCCCTCCCATCCCCAGAATTTTAAAAACAGACTGACAATAAAAACCCCTTTACAACACTCATCCTCCGACACACACACACACACACACACACACACACATATATACATACATACCCCCGTCCCCATGGTAAAAAACATGATTGACTGAGATCAGATGAGCCAGACCAGCTAAGATGAGGATGAGGAAACGCCATCAGGGGAGCCATCTGCCCTGGCAGCAGTAGATCCACAGCAGCAGCCGAGGCACTGACACAGGGCGCCCAGGGCAGGGAGGGCAGAGACCTCCACCTCCACCTAGGCACACCTGGAAAGCACCCAGGCCGCCACAGCCGACCACCGCCGCCGAGGCAGAGGGCTCTGTCTTGTTCTGTGTCCCTCTGTCCCCAGCCTCCTCCAGTTACCACTCCAGGTTCTCCTCTTATGTCCCATTATTATCCCCAGCCCTCTCTAGACTTCCCTCTGGTATCCTCCTAATCACTCCCTATTCCTAGTCAATCTTATTTTAGTCCTCCTCATCCATCTAGTTATTAGTTATTAATTTTTGGCCCTCAGTCTTTAGGTTTAGTTTTATCCGTGTTTTATAGGTTAAGGTTTATCTGCCATCCTGCTAGTTTCTTTCCCCCATATAGATTATTGTATGCACCTGCCTTGCCTCCAGCTCTCACTACTCCCGCCTGTCACCTGTTTCCCTGATTGTTTCCCTCTGTGTATATAACCCTGTCTGTGTCTTTCAGTGTTGTTGGTTCATTGTAATTGTCAGCGTGTTCTGTCCTCCTCTAGTTAGAATAGAATAGAATAGAATAGAATAGAATAGAATAGAATAGAATAGAATAGAATAGAATAGAATAGAATTCAACTTTATTGTCATTGCACATGTACAGGTACAGGGCAACGAAATGCAGTTTGCATCCATCCAGAAGTGCTTTAGCAGTGATATAGATGTATTACAATATAAATTAGCAATAATATAGATGTGTAAGTATATTACAGAAATGGTTCTATTACGTGTGTTATAATGTACATGGTATGAAGTATGTTATGAATATTCTATGACTATAAGTATGTACAGGCTGCAGTTAATACAAGCAGTCCATGAGTTTAACATGTGTCATATGTCAGGAGGCAGAGTTGAGGAGTCTGACAGCTGTTGGGAAGAAACTGTTCCGGTACCTGGTGGTCTTAGTCCGGAGGCTCCTGTAGCGCCTCCCAGAGGGCAGCAGGGTGATCAGCGCATGTGATGGGTGATTGTGGTCTCTGATGATTTTCGCTTCCTGTAGATGTCCTTTATGGCAGGAAGTGGTGCTCCGGCGATGCGCTGGGCAGTTTTCCCGACCCTCTGCAATGCCTTCCGGTCCGAGGCGGAGCAGTTCCCATACCAGACTGTTATACAGTTGGTCAGGATGCTCTCGATGGTGCAGCGATAGAAGTTCACCAGGATGTCTGAGGACAGGTTGTTCTTCCTCAGAGTCCTCAAGAAGAAGAGGCGCTGGTGAGCCTTCTTGACCAGCTTGGAGCAGTTGGTAGTCCAGGTGAGATCCTCGGAGATGTGGACTCCCAGGAACTTGAAGCTGCTCACACGCTCCACTGCCGTCCCCTTAATATGGATGGGTGGATGTGGGTCAGCATTCCTCCTGTAGTCCACGATTAGCTCCTTAGTCTTCTCAGTGTTGAGCAGCAGGTTGTTTGTGTCGCACCACTCAGTCAGACGGTCCACCTCCTCCCTGTAGGTGGTCTCATCGTTGTCACTTATGAGGCCAATCACCGTGGTGTCATCTGCAAACTTAATCATGGTGTTGGAACCATCATACTGTCGTGGGTGAAAAGGGAGTAGAGGAAAGGGCTCATCACACAGCCTTGTGGTACACCAGTGTTCATTGTGATTGTTGATGAGCAGCGGTTATCCAGTCAGACATGTTGAGGGCGGTTGGTCAGGAAGTCCAGTAACCATTTGCAGGTGAGGGAACGGATCCCCAGGTCTGTCATTTTCCTGATGAGTTGTGAGGGGTGGACTGTATTGAATGCTGAACTGAAGTCTATAAACAGCATTCTGGCATAGGTGTTTGTATTGTCCAGGTGTGAGAGGACAGAGCGCAGTGCAATGGAGACTGCATCCTCTGTGCTCCTGTTCTGGCGGTATGCAAATTGGTGTGGGTCCAGGGTGGGGGGGATACTGGATTTGAAGTGTGCTAAGACCAGCTGCTCTAAGCACTTAGTGATGATGGGGGTGAGTGCTACCAGGCGGTAGTCATTGAGGCTAGATGGGTTGGAGTTTTTGGGTATCGGGACGATAGAGGTGGATTCGAAACAGGCCGGTACCACAGCATGGGCCAAGGACAGATTGAATATGTCTGTGAGCACTCCTGCGAGCTCCCCAGAGCACGCTCTGAGAACACACCCAGGGTTGCCAGCAGGGCCTGCAGCCTTGGGGACATTGATCCTGCTCAGCACCGCTCGTACATCGGTGGGGGAGAGAGTCAGAGGTTGGTGGTCTGGCGTCATGTCTGTTATGGTTGTGGTTGTGAGGTTCCCTCGCTCAAATAAAAGTTGTTGAGCTCGTTGAGGAAGGAAACATCAGAGGATGCGGTGGAGGGTTTGGTGATCCTGTAGTCTGTGATGGTCTGGAGTCCTTGCCACATGCGTCGGGGGTTGGAGTTGGAGAAGTGTTCTTCTATCTTCTTTTTGTAATGGTGTTTGGCTTTTTTTGATGCCCTTCTTTAGATCAGCCCCGGCTGTACTGTAGGCGTGTGCATCTCCTGTCCTAAAAGCGATGTTGCGGGCCTTCAGTAGGAGACGAACATCCCGGTTCATCCAAGGCTTCTGATTGGGGTACATGGTGATCCTTTTCTGGGTGGTGACACTTTCTGTGGTTACGGAGATGTAATCCAGTACAGATGAGGTGTACTGGTCCAGGTCTGTGTTGGTGAACATATTCCAGTCTGTGCTTTTAAATCTGTCCTGGAGCACCGCATCTGTCCCCTCTGACCACACTTTAATTGTCCTCACAGCAGGTTTCACACGTTGGATGAGTGGTGAATACCGAGGTGTGAGGAACAGGGAGAGATGGTCCGACTGTCCAATGTGGGGGAGGGGTGTTGCTTTGTAGGCTCCAGCCAAGTTGGAATAAGCATGGTCTAAAGTCTTGTCTCCTCTAGTGTGGCAGGAGACATGTTGGTAGAATCTGGGGAGGACTGTC